GAACTCATGCATAAGTGGCTTAAGCTTCTTAGTGCTGTGCTTTAACCCGTTGCGCTACCAGGGAGGGCCCAGTTAGGTAGTTTTTATTTGAAAATCTCTTAAGTTGAGTGTCCTTAAAATGCCTTAAAGGGAGGAGACCTCAGCCTGTGGCTTGACCCCCATGTTTGCATCCTCACATGAGTGATTCCCATTGGGGAGCATATGATCAAACATAGCTTCTGATGTGGGTCAGCCAGGGCCAAGTGTGTCAAGGTAGACCTGGCTGTGTTTGTAGTTCGCCTTTGATGCACTACTTTGTTACAGACACATCTTGGTCTTCTTAGTTTTTTCTGGGGTCATTTTGGTTATGGAATAGGCAGTAAATATACCAAACCTCAGGAATGGGAGACTGGTGAGAATCCTGGCTGCCAAGTAACTTCTCTCTGCCTCATTTACTTGATCACAAAATGGGAATAAGGCAGGAGATAGAACATCGAGAAGGTGTTTTCACCTTTAAGATCTAATGATGGAAGAGATCCCAGGCTTAGGGAAGGCTGGCAAGAAAAGCGGAAAGCCAGCTCTCCCTGTGGCTGGCACAGCGTATTAAGGTGCAACACTACAAAGCTTGCAGCCACTGCAGCACATTGATCCTGGACCAGGGAGCTGACCTGGCGTGGCAGACCTTTCCTGTCTTGCCCGTTGCTCCCCACAGCAGTGCATTTTGGTCCATCTGTTCCCCACTCTGTCTCTGGTGGATCCTTTCACCCTCCACCCTGGCATCTCCCAGTTCTTGAATGCATAAATAAATAAATCTGGAAGAAAAAAAAAGAAAGCTTGGGTGGGATACAGAGAAGCAACTGTTACCCACAAGGAGTCCCAAAAGAAGTGCCAGAGAAGCTGGAGGGCTCAGTCGCTGAAGCTGAGGTGAAGGCTCCTGAGAAACAGTCACTGGTCAACCATACCAAAAATTGCTAAAAGGTCAAGAATTGAGAAATAACCAGATTTATCCCAGAGAGTGGGGAAGATGTTACTGAGTGTCACTGAGGTGGATGGGACACCGAGGTGAGAAGAGGGATTCTGCCTCGGGGACCGAGTCGAGCTGAGGCAGCAGCACTTACTAGGGCAGCCTGGACGTGTAAGATGAAGGCCTTGGAGGAAGTGAGAGGGGGGCGCGGGCTCCTTCCTAGGGCTGGGAGGACAGGGGACATGCTGGGTGGTGTTCAGGGAGGGACTGCTCTGTATTCAACGACAGGAAAGGTGTGAGCCTGTCTCCACAGGGACCGTGAAGACATTGAAGGAATGGGAGTGAGAGGAGGGGGGCTGTGCGGATGAGGGGCAGGCAGTTGAAAGGATTCTGGGAAAAGGGTGGACAGACTGAAGATGTCCAGAGCTGAGATGCGTGGTTGGCTGTCCACAGGAGATGGAGTGACTTTGATGCCTTCCACAGATGCCAAGGGCCAGGCCGACCCTTGGCAATGGCAGTATAGAAATAAAGAAATCCAGAAAAGCTGACGTGCAGGTTCTTTGTCCCAGACTTGCAGGTGCTAGGAGAGTGGTTCTGAGGACAAGGGGAGCTGCGGCCCCAGAGGGATCAACGGTGAGCCAGAGCAAGACTAGCCACCGAGCCGAGCCCCAAGATCCACACAGTGGGCAGGGCAACTTGGGTTGCATTCTGAGCCCGTGACTCTGAGGCCAGGCAGCCATATGATGTCTGTCTGTGCCCGCGTGCTCCCCCTTTTCTCCAGCACTCCCGAAGTGTTTGGCAGTGCACAAGCCACCTCTTTCCCAGGTCCCTTTCCTTGAGCTTCTCAGCCAGCCAGCCACGTTCGCAGTCCAGGCGAACCTCCCTTCATGGTCCGACTCGAGCGCGCCCCCTCCAGGAAGCCTTCCTTCACTGCTTTCTGCTAATACCGGATCGTGCACGCACTGGATACTGTTTATCCTGGGTTACATCCATTTCTGCAATTAGCAGACTCTGAGGATAGAATCCCCAGAAAGTGTACCATAAAACTAAGTATCTAGTAAGTGCATAATGCAAATATAGTTTTATTCAAATGGTCATATACCCTGTAGCTGTGTGTGGCATTTTACTTTTTTCCTCCTAACCTTCCAAAAATATTCTCAGGTACATTACAATCCACGAAGCTGGTGTAACAGTACATGAAATAGAAGGCCTTTTCTTTCTTTCTTTTTTTTAAATAAGGAAGGAAACGTACACAGAAAAAGCCCCAGTAACTTGCCTTAAGCCATTACACTAAGATGGCGGTGGTGCCGCCGCCTGCCCGCGCCCCGGTTCTTACCTTGATGACATAGCGTACATATTGTGGCCGTTTGGCATTGAGGAAGATCCCTATGGTGCAAGGAAGGAGAACGAGGATCATGGATAGCACAATGCCTCCATAGGGCACTTTGTTCTTCAGGTCCACATCATAGATCCCCCTGGTGTAGATATACAGGAGGAGGGGCATCATGCCCAGGGCAAAGAAGGTGGAGCAGGTGGTCATCACGATGCTGAGTGGAGACAGGAAGAGCGCAGAGAGAACCCATGACTATAAACTGGTTTGCTGAGTACCCGCCTTGAGCCAGGCAGAGCCAGGCACTGTGCTAAGCCCGTTACAAACTGCTACTGCGCCTATTCCCGCAGCCTGAGCGGGTTCGCACGCTATTTGCTACCGCTAAAGAGGAAGCTGGGACTAGGAGAGTGGGGCTTGTCCGAGTCACTCGGGCAGCAGTGACTGAATTAGAAGACCTCAGCAACAGAGCTAGAAAGCTGAATGGGGGGCCCTCCCTGGTGGCGCAGCGGGTTAAAGCACTGCACTGAGAAGCTAAAGCCACTGCAGCATGAGTTCGATTCCCACCTGCCCAGGAGGTGACCGCATGGCGTGGCAGACCTCTCCTGACCCGCCCGCTGCTCCCCTCAGCAGTGTACTTCGTCCATCTGCCTGTTCTGCTCCCCGCTCTGTCTTTGGTGAAGCCTCTCGCCGCCCCTGAGTCTCTGGCCTGTACCCCAGTTCTGTGTGCACAAATAAATAAATCTTAAAAAAAAAAAAAAAAAAGCTGAATGGGACCATTAATTTAATGGGTACCTACAGGCTTTTAAGGACTCACGATTCTAAAATTGTCTTTTACAAAATACTGTTTCTAAATTAACTGAAGCCAATAAATAAGTAAAAGAAGATTAAAAAAAATCTGAGAACTTTTCCTTAGATTATTAGATGTGTGATATTTTTCTACTCTGATGTCAACATAAGCTTGTCAGTAGTTCTCGTTAGCTGACTTAAAGAAAAGGAAATGTTTCTATAAAGCAAGTATATTCTCAGAAATATAGAAACTAACCCTTCAAGTACTTCACGTTCACATGATCTGGGGGAATCTTCAGTATATAAAAGCTAGTTTAAATTTGTGGCTTAATTAAAGCAGCATGTCCCTACAGCAATCAGCATTAATTATAATTAACTGTCTACTTTGGTGTACTAAAAGTCAAATAGGCTCATGCTATCTTTATACTACAAAATTTGTTAGCAAGGAAGATAACGAGATAATTAGCTGTTTAATGCCTCATGAAATTTTTATGAGAAAATCTAAACATAATTGTTAGGCATAAGTAAATTAAGAGGCTGTAAGATACAAGTTTATAAGCGAACTTTTCAACAATACATATACTTTATATTGTGTGTGCTTAAAAATAGTTTCAAAAATCCTTTTGATACCTTGAAACCTTACGGTCACACTGAGATAAGTTATGTAATATATGCTCATTAAATATTTAAATTATTTCAAGTAAGATAAACATTGAATATGAAGCATAAGAAGTTAAAGTCATTTATTTTTGGGGTTCTTTAAATTTTATAGAGAGGCAAAAGATATTTGGGCCCATAAGTTACTTGTCTTGTGCCATATTGAAAAATTTATAATGAAGAAAAATATACTTCTAAAAATTATGAAATGTAAAAAATTATGAAATGTAAATTACAAAATTGTAAATTTGTCAGTCCACTATTACTTTTTAGTTTTCATTAGAAATTCAGGACTCTAAGGACTAAAAATTCTAATTAATATATATAGTTAAAACAAATAGAAATGATAAGGATGAAAGAAAATGACTATTTCAAAAATAATAAGAAAAATTGTGGTTTTTTTGGGAGGGGAGTATAAGAAAAGCTAGGAAGGATATTTGTCCTAACATAAAGTGATTTGTTCTGGAGTTAAAAAATGTAGGACAAAAGATGCAGGTTTATGGAAAAGAAATCTTGAGAAATGCACTTTTTGTGTGGTCAAATTGACTAAGATTAAAGTAGATTAAATAAAAAGGGAAAGGCAGGATTTAATATTAAAAGTACTCGTGTAAGATTAGAATTTAATTTTCTCTTTTAAAAGGACAAAGTTTTGCTTAGGTTATTGATTTGGTCTTGACAAGAACTTGTAAATAAAGGATTTCCTTTACCTTTAATATAATCTGCCTAGGAAACAAGAATTCTGTGACCTATGAAAATATATCCTGTGTTCTGCATTTCTCATTACTTAGAAAAATTGAGTCTTTTCCATACTGAAAGGATTAAGGGCTATTTATTTATTTTTATTTTTTTAAGATTTAAGATCAGAATTGAACTGGGTAAGGATTTCTAACACTCTAAGGGAAAATGAATTGATTCATAAAGCTAATCCAAAATAGGCAAAACAGTTATAAGAGACTAAATGAACTGATGAAGATATTTATGATTTTATGACTTTAAAACATTTAAAATATTGCAGATTATTTTAGTTCAAATTTATAGGACACCCTTTCCCTCTTATTCCTTTTAAGATAGCTATAATTTCTAGTAACTGTTAAAATAATTTCTAGTAACTGCTAAAATACTTTTGTAAAAAAAGATTGAAACATTATCTTGTTGTCCATACCTGATGCCTCCAGAATTAAGAGACTTTTACAAAATATTCTTCTTCTATGACAATATGTGCATTTACTTAAATTCAATAAGAATTAGTTCTCCTTGTGTAATAGGACACACCTTGGACAAGTCCTTAGCTTGGCTTCTTATATATTTTTTTAAAGATTTATTTATTTGTGCATACAGAACTGGGGTACAGGCCAGAGGCAATGAGAGGATTCACCAGAGACAGAGTGGGGAGCAGAGCCCGCAGATCGACCAAGTACATTGCTGAGCGGAGCAGCAGGCGGGTCAGGAGAGGTCTGCCACGCCATGTGGGTCTCCTCCGGGA